TTTTTTTTTTTTTTTTTTTTTTTTTTTTTTTTTTTTTTTTTTTTTTTCATCAATCTACATGTGAAAATAGCTGAAAACAAGAGGATATATCAGATACCTTCGTGGCACGTAAGTATATGGGATCGAGAGGAAAAGGGTGTATAAAGTGAGGAGGCAATATATATTATATATATAAGGTGTGTCCGAGAGGGCAGGCCAATATACATAAGAGAGGAAGAGAAAAGTGGTCGACAGGTAGAGTATATAATATAGGCAGGGCAGGGCACGAGGGCAGGGGCATTGAGGTACACACACACACAGAGAGAGAGAGAGAGAGAGAGAGAGAAGTAGTCAGGCAGGGGCAGGGCAGGGCGGTCAGGTAAAGGCGGCGTCGGCGGTAGCTGGCCCTCTCTCTCTCGCCCTGATTAACTGGGACTATATACCAAGAGCAGCTAGCTACCGCACCCCTCCGTTTCTCGTTCTTTTTCTCCTTCTGGTCCGTCCTCCTCCTCCTCCTCCTTCCGAAAGAGCAAAGGCTCACCGTCGCCGCGTCAGCGAAGGCTGCGGCAGTTGCTCGCCGTAAGCTCCACTCCAGGTATAAAATCGCTGCCGCGTCCGCGATCGGGTACACACACACACACACACATATTTATACCCCCATGTATGTTATGTACACCAGCGGTGGTGCCGTGTCAAGGAGCAAAGGCATCACCTACTCGACAGCCCCTCTTATTCCTCAATTTACTAATTCTGTTCTTCTTCGATCAAAGTGCATTGTTTCCTGATTATATACAATTTTTTAATCACCCAAAACACACGTCTCTGTCTGTGATACACTTGCGCACGCATCCACGCTGTTGTTGCTGTTCTCGTTTTGTAAGTACATCATTATGCACATAAATAAATATCATGGGTATAAAAAATCGGTATGGAGATCGGTATGGATCGGTAATACACGTACAGTACTTACTTGTTCATATAAATTACGATGCTACATTATATACGTGTTTTCCTGTCCATTCACACCTGCGCGCTCCTGCATTGTTGTTGACTTTTTTTTTATCCGGCCCTATTATAACGGAGCTGCAGAAGCTGCTTCTCCTCCTCTCTTTCTGTATATAACAGTGTGCGCACGTGATTCATCGACCGATTGATTGCGGTATAAAAAAAAAAAAAAAAAAAAAAAAACGCGGCGCTGCTCATTCATCCGATTCATATATATTATGCGTGTACTATATGTATACAAATACAACCCCTTCTTCACAACGAACCTTTAGGAAATAATACTTATTAGTAAAACCGAGTCCGTGAAAAGTTACATGTACATGCCTATGAAAGTCTACAATGTAGATCCCCTGGAGATTAAAATGTTTGAATGAGAGAGAGAAAAAAAGGTGCGCTCGGCGCGATTCGCTTGCGTCAAAAATTGCGAAAACGCGAGCAGAGAGTTAACTCGTACACACACACACACACAAGTTGTAAACATGCATTATACAATACATGTTAGAGTCAAGAGAGCCAAGCGGCAGCTGCAGCATGTATATAGGCAAAGAGAAGGAGTGCATCAAGCATAGCAGGAGCAGGTATAAGTAATATATATAGAAAAGTCAAGAGAGGCACGAGGGGAACAAGTGTAGCACCTTTGAAGAAACAGGTAGCCTCGCGGTAGCTGTGGGGAAGGATGAAAAAGGGGAAAGAATATACATGTATACACGATGAACGAGAGCAGAAAGAGAGAGAGAGAGAGAGAGATGAGATGGTACAACATAAAGTGTAACGCATAGCTTTAAATTCCGAAAGGTCAGCATCTGCTGCCTCGCCTCTCTCGCGCCCTGCTCTTGCAGCAGCATCGTACTCTCTCTGCACTCGTTTCGACACCAACGCCACCCTATAGCCCGAGAAAAATTAAATATTCAATAAACAAATTGATGGAATCGACGTATTAAAAACTGCTCTTTTCAGAAATGCAATTAGTAAAAACTGCTCCTTTCTATTTATTTAATTAATGCAAATCAAAGTGACCGGTAACAGGCAATACTTCGCGAGTCATTATAAACCTAATAATATCAATATTTAAAAGAAATTTTTATTAGAAAAAACTGCTCTTAGGGCGCTTCAAATTGCTCTATGATTTAATTGCAGATTCAAAGTAATTAATATCAATAAAATATGAAATAACAAATAGCTTGGGTGAACCAATGGTAGATGGGAGTTTTTGTTGCTGTGAGTTGGCTACTCTTGGTTGCTTGTACTTGGGACTCGCGGAACGCGTCGTCTGCCAAACTGGCACCATCAGCCACCAGTAGTTCTCATTTAATGAATTACGTATTATATCTTATAAAATTTATATTTTTCAAGGTATAAGTATTTAAAGTCAAACAGTGAGGAAAAATAATACGTAACAAAAAAATGTTCTAACCCACTTAAAACGATTATGATTCCAATGTAGAATTCTTTCGTTAACATCCGTAGATAAATGAAAAAGAAGGATAATGAGCCTTGTGTAATTAACTGATAAATGTGGAAAAACGCGCGCAATGTAATTATAACTGATAACTTAATTTCTAATATGAAAATTCGTACACTAGGTGAAAGAATAAAAGTAAATTTTAAATCTGTGTCGCAAACGAGCGTATAAGAAAAAGTGTACAAATTGATTGAAAATTAAAAAAAAAAATTAATGTTTCACCTATACTTTGACGAAAAAAAAAATAGTGACTATATTGTCTCGCTCCGCGTAAAAGTATATTTTTTTTCGGTACACGGTTGATCAGAAAAATCGTATGTTTACCAGAGACACCGGTGTACGGGTGCAAAATAACAAACAATCCTATTATATATCTCATGTTGGTCATAATATCATCGTATTGTTGTGTATACCTCGGACTCTCGGGAGATGTCATACATTTTTACACTGCTATAAATCCCAAAGTTAATTTTAACTCGAAGATGATTTTTTTTCTTTAATGCATGATTTTTTTTTTTTTTTTTTTCATCAATCTACATGTGAAAATAGCTGAAAACAAGAGGATATATCAGATACCTTCGTGGCACGTAAGTATATGGGATCGAGAGGAAAAGGGTGTATAAAGTGAGGAGGCAATATATATTATATATATAAGGTGTGTCCGAGAGGGCAGGCCAATATACATAAGAGAGGAAGAGAAAAGTGGTCGACAGGTAGAGTATATAATATAGGCAGGGCAGGGCACGAGGGCAGGGGCATTGAGGTACACACACACACAGAGAGAGAGAGAGAGAGAGAGAGAGAAGTAGTCAGGCAGGGGCAGGGCAGGGCGGTCAGGTAAAGGCGGCGTCGGCGGTAGCTGGCCCTCTCTCTCTCGCCCTGATTAACTGGGACTATATACCAAGAGCAGCTAGCTACCGCACCCCTCCGTTTCTCGTTCTTTTTCTCCTTCTGGTCCGTCCTCCTCCTCCTCCTCCTTCCGAAAGAGCAAAGGCTCACCGTCGCCGCGTCAGCGAAGGCTGCGGCAGTTGCTCGCCGTAAGCTCCACTCCAGGTATAAAATCGCTGCCGCGTCCGCGATCGGGTACACACACACACACACACATATTTATACCCCCATGTATGTTATGTACACCAGCGGTGGTGCCGTGTCAAGGAGCAAAGGCATCACCTACTCGACAGCCCCTCTTATTCCTCAANTAAATGAAAAAGAAGGATAATGAGCCTTGTGTAATTCTATAATTATTATTTTATAATCATGTATAAATGCACACGTTACACAATGTGCAGCAAGTACAATTGCAACTTTACAAATACATAATTATGGACTCTTACGACAACATTTCATGAATCATACAAATGTATTTACATTAAAAATTAATTACTATAAAGTGTTATCAAGGAAGATGGAAACAAATACCTACATTATTTTATCTTAGAACTTAGTGTGTCCACACTACTTGTGAAAGTTCGTTATATCGTACAATATGCATTAAATGATATCACTTGGCAGTTTTTACTAATTGCATTTCTGAAAAGAGCAGTTTTTAATACGTCGATTCCATCAATTTGTTTATTGAATATTTAATTTTTCTCGGACTAGGGTGGCGTTTGTGTTTCGACCACGTTACATTTAGGTATATATACGTACTACACGTATGTATCTATATGTATACGCAAGGGGCGAAGGAGAAGAGGAGGAGAGCGAAAGAATGCACCTGGGTGGAGTAGGTATACCTACCTGCCTACCTATAAAGGATATGGTATATACATAGGATAGAGAGTTATAGCTCCAGGTAGCCGATCCGCGCGCGCTTTCGCTGTTACACGGGTGCATTGGTATATTACTCTCTGTTCCGCTCTCTTCTCTCCCCCTATATACATTCCCTATCTTCTTATTCTATTCTTCGCTGACTTTTTCCTGGCTACCTGCCAGCACCGCGCAATCTCCTCCTCTTCCTCTGATCATCCTCGTCTTCTTCTTCTTCTTCTTATATACTGCTCCCTCGTATGTATATAAATGTGGGGTTCCCCCGTTTTCTTTTTTTTTTACAATGTCATGATTGAGTTAAATAAACGCGCGTTCCCGCTCTTATGCCGATCTGACGATTACCGATCATGCATCGTCTCGATCCTCGCGTTTAGATCGTCCTCGTCGGTTTATACTTATTTAATATAAGGAGCGTTTTCCCTAATAATTAAGTACTACTCGTACATCCGCACAATTGTGGCGCATCATGGCTCGGTCTGCTCTTTGTATCATTTTTCCGAAACTCGAACCGATTTTTTCTAAATCCTTGGAAAAAAAAAAAAAATTAATAAGTAAATGTTTTTCTCTCTCACAACGCGTCTCGATCGATGAATCGTTAGGTACTTATGTTGCCGATTTTGAAATTCAGTTGGCCAAGAACCGTAGAAAATGCGCGCACGGAAACCGGTAGAAATAGACCAAAGAGCAGCCGCTCGCCTCTCGCGCTACCTATATATATACTTATGCGGCGGAAAAAAAATCAGAGCAGAGAGCGAGAATAGCAAAAGAGGCATCGTGTGTGTGTTAAGTTCGATGAACGGATGTATATGCATGCAAGTAGGTACACGACGACGGGGGAAACGGGGGATCGCGAGCATCGACGTGGAGCGTGCAGGTATACGTGGGGGGGGGGGGGGGGTACAGGTGGCGTTGCCTAAGAGCCTGGAGGCAATATATATTATATATATAAGGTGTGTCCGAGAGGGCAGGCCAATATACATAAGAGAGGAAGAGAAAAGTGGTCGACAGGTAGAGTNGGGGGGGGGGGGGGGGGGGGGGGTACAGGTGGCGTTGCCTAAGCGCCTACCTGGGTAACACATACAGGTATACGTAACTTGCATCCGTTGCTTACGCGGCCTCCCGATCTCGCGATCCCCCACCTCCGCCTACATTCTCTCTCTCTCTCTCTATTATCTCTTTCCATCTTAATACGTCGTGTGCATGGTGTGCGGTGTGTGCAGGAGGCAGTGCACGCCAGCAAAAGCAGCAGCCACGAGCGTCATTTACGATTTACAGTTGTCGGGATGTGTGTATCTGTTTTATTTTTAGCCGGGAGAAATAAAGGTATAAGAGAGATGAGTGTAGGGGGTCGAGAGTGAGCTGGTGCGCTTACGGTAGCACACACACGATTTTATTTGTTTTTCCCTTTTTTATTTATTTATTTTTTCTTTTAACATCATAAAAGTATCTCTTATTTTTAATTAACTTATTTAATTATTTATTTTATTTTATTTTTTTTTTTTAAGGAAAAGACGGTGGAGAGGCATAAAAAAAAAAAAAAAAGAAGAGGAAAACGATCGAAACAACACGATCCCAGGAGAGTCGAGTGAGACATGGAGAGGGACGAGGAGTTAAAGAAGCAGCGCGAGAAGGTCGTCGCTGCTGCCGCTCATCATCACCATCAACAGCAGGAGAAGCAAGTGAATTTGCATTGTGCTCCGAAAAGTAATCGTCGCAGCCAACAGCAGCAGCGGTTAGCTGCCAGCCACGAAGACAACAACAGCGAGGAGGAGGACGAGGAGGAGCACGAGGAGGAAGAGGATAATGAGGAAGAAGAGGAAGAAGACGAGGAACAAGAACCCACAGACACGGAGGTATGTATACATACGCCTATTATAAGTAGTGTACCGCTCTCTCTCTTTCTCTCTCCCTCTCGTTCTCTATAATAGCTACTCGTCTTATATCTCTCTCTCTCTCTCTTCGAACCTACCTGCTCCATTTTTTCTAATTGGCTCGGTTACGTCGCACATTGACTATTTTATCTATTCACCATTAACTACTTGTTCCCACTATCTGGCTCTTTTTTCTTCCAATTCTATTACACACATACCTGGCTGTAGCAACTAGTGTGATACTGTTTTAATGTAGTGACTTTGATTTTGTTCCATTCCTTTGTTCTTCAGAAAGAGCCAAAGCCTATTGTTGACGGCAAATTAAAGGGCTGCAGTGATAACAAACCAAATGATAATAAGCCTGACATACACAATATCGGGGTAAGAGACTACAGATCGCTCAGGAGGCATCACATCGGCTTGGATTTGCAAAACAGCAATTTGGAGAATGCTCAGGACTTGGAAATGACGGAACACAAATTGAAAAAGGAAGTAACTGGTGTTGAACACTACACAGCGGCTGCCGCCGTGGCAGCTGCGGGTATGATACATCATCACCTTCAGGCTGGCATTGACCACATGAGAGGGAATGCTGGTGCTGATATGGAGGTAAACTTTTCAATGAAAGTGTTTACCTATTTCAAACTTTTTTTTAAACATCGTGTTTTTCTTTGTTTTTCAGATGAAAATTTCCAGGGACGGACGAAATTCTTGCTTAGGCTTAGGCTTGTCGCTCGAACTTTGCGTTGTCTGTGGAGATAGAGCTAGTGGCCGACACTACGGAGCAATCAGTTGTGAAGGTTGTAAAGGTTTCTTCAAAAGGAGTATTCGCAAGCAACTTGGTTACCAATGTCGAGGGAGTAAAAGCTGCGAAGTCACGAAACACCACAGGAACAGATGTCAGTACTGCAGGCTGCAAAAGTGCCTTGCAATGGGAATGAGAAGTGACTGTAAGTCATCTTTAAAGAAAATTTTTCCCATTTTTTTTTTATAAAAAAAATTTCACTCAAATAAGTATATAATTGTTGATCTGTAATCATCATCTTTACAGCTGTTCAGCATGAAAGGAAGCCCGTTTTAGGGACTAATGAATCCGGAACTAGTGGGAAAAATAGTGGTAATCGCGGCGCGCGTGTCAAGCCCGAAGTCCCACAGCCCATCATTATTGAAACCACACCAACATTACCTACACCTGCCTGGGAGCAGCAGCAACAGCAGCATCAGCAGCCAGAAAGCCCCAGTATGGAAGACCACCACAGCAGTGATAGTGATCTCAGTGATGCCTTGACGTTGGCACGCGAACGGCTTCTCATTTCTCATGCTTTAGATAACATGGCAAAATTAATAGCTGGAGATGTAAGTAAATACTAATTTTTTCGAAGAAACGAGTATGACGTTGTTTTTCACTTCAATTTGTAAAACTGAAAAAAAAAAAAAATGTTTTTAGAGCATCAACGGTACTGGTGATAACGAAGCGGACGAAGAATTGAATTGTGGTCAGCTTCTATTTGACAAGCACATGCATTTCGAATTAAGAGCGCCTAGTCCAGCTCCTGCATACTTATCGATACACTACATCTGCGAAAGTGCAGCGAGATTGCTGTTCTTATCAGTGCACTGGGCAAGAGGAATACCGGTCTTTCAGTCACTTCCGTTAGTATATTCCTCCAATCCACTCAGAGAAAATAATATGTCGGCAACGATCTTTCACGTCTTCATTATATTACAGTTCAGAAGTACAAACGACGTTGGTGCGTAGTTCGTGGGGACAATTATTTACCCTTGGCTTGGCACAGTGTGCTTACACTCTATCTCTTCCCAGTATTCTCACTTGGATCATAAATCATCTTCAAACAAACATAGCACAAGAGAAAATGTCGGCAAACAAAATAAAGTCCGTGACAGAACATATTTTTCGCTTACAAGACTGTGTCAGTTCGCTTCATAGACTGCAAGTAGATTCTATCGAATATGCGTACCTTAAGGCCTTAACGCTTTTCAGTGCAGGTAATAAAAACTTGGCAGTCGAATGACAAAGAAAACTCATTCCTTAAACACACACGTTTATTTAATGGTAAAAATATTTTCAGACAATGTTCTCGACGGACAGTGGCACAGACGCGTTCAAGCACTACAAGAGGTTGCCTGGACGGAGTTGCAACAAAGAGTAGGTGCCGAACGGTTACCAAGACTGTTATTGCGATTAGCGCCGCTGCGCTCTATAAATCCACGAATACTGGAAGATCTCTTCTTCGCGGGACTGATTGGTCGCGTGAGCGTAGCCAGTGTAGTGCCTTACATACTTACCATGCAAGACTGCTGCAAGATGGAGCCTGAGAGTCAGATGAGAGGATGACAATAGCAATGGGACCTGTATTTTATCAAAGCTTAAAATCTTATTACGAGATAACATAATTGTGACAATAAGTACACGCGCGTTTGGTACTTTTTGTTCCAATGAGGCGTCCAAATACGTGATTATTAATTACTTTTAACCGTAAGCGTATTGCATGTAATATGAAAGATAAGAGTTGTATTATTAACTTTATATGAATTAATTTCAGTATTTCATAGGACTTTTGCAATTTACGGTGTTTGCGCTCGCAAATGTTGGTGCAAATACTTTTCACAGTTTTCAAAAAAGAAGTGAAAGAAAGAGAATTAATTATACAACGTTGATATTTACGAGAGAGGAATAATTGTTTGCGTTTTTTAAGAGAAATTATTGTTTTTTTTTTTTTTTTTTTTTTTTTTTTTTTTTTTTTTTTTTTTCAAGAGACTGGTTCTACTATATGCAATCTGGAAAATGTTTGAGTAGGGATAGTTGCAATGTAAATATAAAATTATTATACGTGCCTATAAAATAAAAAAATACTTATATATAAATATATATTTATACAACGGCGATGTGATTTTGTAATTACTTTACTGAAGACTATGAAGAATAAAAATTTATTATAGTTACACGATTCTTTGTTTATTACTTAATACGGAACATCTATCTTGAATTTTTATGTGTATGTACTTATTTTAGCAGTCATTTGTTTCAGCGAAACAACGTTGGGAAACATCGATGTAAAAAGTGCGGTTAGTTTGCAAACGAACTTTAAAGTTTCGTTGAATGTTGTAAAAAAAAAAAAAAAAAAAAAAAAAAAAAAAGTATGGACAAATCCGTAAATACGGACGCCGTTGTATATACGGGAAATAAAAGTAAAGCCAGTAAAACGCAAGACGCGAATGCCCAAACCGACGATAAGTTGAGACTCGATGGCACGTCGTTAATCAAAATAATACAAGAATTGGAAAAGGGTGTGCACTTCATCAAGTGTAGTTTGGAAAAGGTATCGACGCCCACGACGAATCTCGAGTACCAAAAAGACGTTTACTCGTTAATAAAAGATTTGTTTCTGCAGATCGCCGAAGCGATTATGTTAATCCAAAAGAAGCTAATGTACATTACCGGTGAGCCCGACCAAGGTATATATGTAACATCGTAACGGCCCCAAGCTAAAATCGCGCATTTTTTCACTCGTTCCCCACAGCTGAGTTACAATGTCAGTGTCCGGAAAAAAACCCCGATTGGCCAACGATCGATGCGACGACGCAAACCGACGACGAACCAACTGCAACGTCGAATCCCAATAGTCTTGGAGAGCCGGCAGACGTGAACATAAAAGTCGTAAAAAAAGCCTACACCGGCTTGCTGAAGGCAAAAATCGAGTTCGACTCGCGATTCATCGACTTCAACGGTGTCCTCAATTATGGCACAAGCTCCGCCGATTTCCAAAGCTTCCGTGACGTTTGTGCCAATCCGGACCTATTATTAGGACAGGTACGCTCGGTGGTCACACACACACGCGTGCACGCACGTTTTCTTCTCTTCTCTCCCGATGACCTTTTCTGTAAACTCTGATGTGTGGTCCAAAGGAATGAGAGGAGAAAACGAAGACGTGCGAGTCATCGGATCTATTTAAACGCGCTTTCATAACACATGACTTGTATGCAATAGTCGACGGCCACGGCAAAATCTGAGGAGAGATCAGCGAAGAAACGCAAAAGATCTATCTGGACGATGATGGGTGATGAGAAGCCGATGAGGAGGTCGCCGCGGTTGCAGGGCAAATGTGGCGGTGGCGGTGGTTCGGGTGTCGTATGTATCGAAGACTTGGACGGAGACGACAGAACTGAGGGATAGAGTTTTTCATGTATACGGTTGAATGAACTGAGCCAGTTTTTAGTTTAAACGAACCCATTTTTTTTTTATTTTGCATAAAAAGACAGACGAAGCTATTTTACAATTTATAATTTGCTTTTCATTGAACGCACCATTTCAGCGTCTTTTAGTTCCGAGTTGACATTCAATGTATTTTCATTTTTATTTTTTCTTTTGATGTAAGTATCATGTTTGACCTCTTGCCATTGCTATTTCTCGAGATGCGATGATTGCTTGATGCCATTGGAGCGAGAGAAAAAAGAAATTAAGGGTTCAATAAAAAAGTTTAATCATCGAGTCATGAGCATCATTGTCATTTTAATAAAACTTCTCTTTCTCTCTCTCTTAATTGTCAAGTCTTGTACACTATAGAGATAGTATCGATTGGGAGAAGAGACACGTTAATAACATTCTTTGTTAAGTATCGTCATTGTGACTACTTTCTTAAATAAACATTACTCGCAAGTACAGACAGTTGATGTAACGATTTTGCCACTATGTATAATATTGCCTTTTAATTTATGTTTGTTGTATGATTTTTTTTTTTTTTTTTTTTTTTTTTTTTTTTTTTTTTTTTTTTTTTTTTTTTTTTTGTTTTTTTTTCCTTTGCACTCATTAAATGCGAAAATCGTTTCTTCATATATATCTATATTATATGTACACAACAAAAGATTTTTAAAGTATCAAATATCCATGCACTCGTTTCATTCAGGCCCATTATTGCCGGAATAAAAGTTTTAAAGATTTACAAAAATAATTCGTTCATACCCCGCACGAATAGTATCCAGTATACATCAAATTAATAAGAGAAAGAAAAATGGTCTATGTAAAATACATGCAAAAAATCTTAGAAAAATAAAAATTTTTTAAAAAGGAAAGGGAAAATTAATTTTTCGCCAGCATGTTTCAATGGTAAAACGTTATACAGTATTGTAATCATCGTGGAAAACACAAAACAAAAAACGCGCACGAGAAAAAAAAATACAACGGGATTTCTTTTATCAGCTTTGATAATGAATTCATGTTGTCAACAGACACTTGTTAATTATTTTTTTTTATTTTTTTGTTTTTTTTTTAT